AAAACCCAGTTTTAACCTGTGAGGCCAGAAGCTCTTGAAGTACATCAGACAGGCAGCTGTGTTGAATTGAAAATGAGTCTTCAAGCTTGGGTTTCAAAGATGTGTGGTTAAGTCCTGCCACTTGTCAGCTGTTCAGGCTCGGTGAAGTCAGTTTCTGCTCGTTGTTCTCCAAAACCCACTCTGTTTCTTCCTAAGGCACATTGCTGCACTATATTTCTCAGCATGGCTTGCAGGTTTTTCATGTGACAGAGTTCTATCCAATAAAATGTAAGTGGAAGAGATGTATGCCTCCTCCAAGCTTGGCCAATAAAAACTCACAAGCTCCGCCGACTACTACAACATTTCCCCCATCATCCTTCTCTCTCTTCTGACAAACGCCGGTAAGAACACACGGTGACATTGGGAGCCACATTTTGGAGATGATAGTCACTTGAGACTTGGTTTCCAAACGTCAGCATGAATCACAGTCCCTTCTGCTGGTGAATGACCCCAGCGTCAAAGGAATACATTTCTTGTTCTTTGATCCACTAAATACTTAGGGTTTGCTTGTTACAGCATTTGGGCTCATACTAACTAATAGAGGGAATAGTAATATCTATTTTATAGATGAGACAATGTATATAAATCCTTAGCATAAAGCCCGGCACCTTGTATGTAAACAAAAGTACCAGTTGATATAGTTCTAATAGGGTTTGGATGAGAAATAACATGTGAATGTCTTTTAAAAAGTAAAAAGTGCTCTACAGTACCATATATTTCAGAGCTCTGACTCCTGGGTAGTTACAAGAACTCATGAAATCTTATTTCTATGAAGCCTTTTCTTTGGAAGTGAAATTAAGCATTCCCTGACCACTTGCACATTTCACTTGTAATCTTTACTACACACATGCACACACAAAACCCTCTTATGCGGTATTTGCTTGCATCTTTATATGCTTTTAAATAGCAATTTGTAATTTAGGTCATTCATTTTATAGTGTAAGTTTACAAAAGACAAATGTGTAACTTGGTGGAATGCTACCAAGTTAGGCCAGTGGCCAATACAGGTATATCCTTATGGAAATGCTAGCAATAATGGCAGAGATCCAGAACTGCAAATGAGGTGAAATATGATTTACTAAGTAAAATGAAAAAATCACACATGGTGTAAATCTGTTCCTAAAGAGCTCTTACTCCAAGGTTTGAAACCTAGTCACAAATCCACAAGCAGGAGAGGAGTAATTATAATCACTGTTTCTTCCACTTACAGGGAACCCAAAAAAACCTAACTCTTAAACTTCTGGCTTCCTTGGCCAGTGTTTCTTACCAGTCCCTGTTCTCATTTCAAAGCATTAGTAATGCCCAGAATATGTCTGTCCATTACGACTAATGAGCACACTGAAGTTCACAGACAGCTTGAACAAATTAGTCATCTGCATTCGAATGCCTCTGCTGAGGATTGCAGGTCCATTATTGCATTGCTGGAGTGCATCTGCATAACTTTTAATGTTGAAAAGAATTAGGCTTTACTTGTCAAAGTTTAGCTGCCGTCTGCGGCTTTTAGAAACTGCACAAGTCAAGGGATGCTAATAAAAACCACAAACAAACAACAACAGAAAAAACTGACCATGATAGAAGGCACCCATGATAAGTTTCTCAAGCCTTTTGCCTTCTATGTTTCTTCTGACATTGTTGCCTGTTTCAGGTAGGGGTAACATAATGTTAGCGTTTATTTGAAACCTTTTACAAGCCAGCCTGGAGTCTGAACGGGTACATTATAATGTGTTAGTGTTCAATATGTGCTAATTGAATTAACACAGGTTATAAAGAATTAATATAATGCTCTCATGGGAGTAAGAATTAGGTAAATGTCTTTGTATATTAAAACTTGCAAAGCTGTATGCTATATTTTAAGACACATGAAGACAGATCATTCATTTATGCATTCATTCATGCCACAGGTATTTTCATCCTCCGTGGTATCTAAATGTCAGATACCATGCTCAATGCCGGGGGTACTAAGATGAATAAGACACAAACACCATCCCCAAGGAATTCTGTCTAGTGGCAGAAACTAAAACAAAGAGTTCAGTATCATAAATTACATGAAAATGAATATAAAATAATCGCCTTTGAACACTTAATTCAGACTTTACTTTTCCTTTGTCTATATGTGTAAGCATTATTAAAAATTATTTTCAAAGTTGTTTTGCTATTTTGTGGTGTCTTTTAAAGTCTGGTGAAAGATAAAATTTTATTTCCTAAATGGTCATAATTGAAAGTGAATGCGCAGATACTTCAGTATACTATAGTAAATCACACTGTCATGGGAAAACACTTCAGTTTTATGGTGTTTTCTAAAACCATGTTAGAATTTGTTCTTCTCCATGTTTGTATTAATTAATCCACTCATCAAGTTTGCATTAATTGGTTTCCAAGTGCTTACTTACTAGACGGTAAACTCCAAGTTTCCTGGTCTTTGTTGTCTGTGCTCCTCCAATGGCACACAATGGAAGCTTGACATATGCTTTATTGGATGAATATTGAAAGAACTCAGGGCAACATGTCAGATTCTGAATGTGTCCTGCTGAATGGGCGTGCCTCCGACCCACACAGAGCTCATCTAAAACTGGAGGTACTGTTATCCCTGCGATTTAAACAGTCTCTCAAGAAAACTGAACAGTTCCATCAAACGAACAGACCTAGAAGAGTAATATCATCAGCAGATCATGGAGCTAAAATAGGCTATAACTCCAAAACTTTAAACACAATTTCTTTACCACTTTCATAATACAAACATGCATATATATATACTAGTATATATATATGTATATACATATGCGCATATATATACACACATACACATATATAAAAGCACTGCTGATTGTGATAAATGGTTGGTTTTTTTTAAACAAATCTTAGCCAGGGTGTTGGGGGAGCTCCCAACCACGGCCTGCAAAGCAGTGTGCCTCCCCCTTTCAGGCTGGCCCCTATTCACATTCTGACCAACAGTCTCCCGGATTCCCAGTCTCTTGCTTTTCAAAATGTTACTCTATTGACATTATTGCTCATATTATTATGCCCATTGTCAGTGCTTCTATTTATCATTCAGTAAAATTTAAATGAAAATGACAATTTTAATACCAAAGATGAGGAACTCAATGACACTTGGGACATGCCTAAATCTTTACCCAGACCAAGACCCATTCTTTAATCCTGACTCAAATCAGGGCATGATAGAGATAGGTTTAAAATATCTACGTTTATTTTGAGAAGAACAAGTACTGTACACTATAATACTTTAATATGCCACAGCAACATGTAAAGGATAGTTGAAGACTATTGTAGCAAATTTCTTTTTTTAAAAAATATATTTATTGATTTTTTACAGAGAGGAAGGGAGAGAGACAGAGAGTTAGAAACATCGATGAGAGAGAACCATCGATCAGCTGCCTCCTGCACACCTCCCACGGGGATGTGCCCGCAACCCAGGTACATGCCCTTGACCGGTATCGAACCTGGGACCTTTCAGTCCGCAGGCCGACGCTCTATCCACTGAGCCAAACCGGTTTCGGCTGTAGCAAATTTCTATATGTACATTTCATATACAACATTGTACTGTTACAAAACAATGCTGATGCCTAGAAAACTTGTTCTACAGAGAGCCTCACTGTAATAAAAGCTGTTGCGATAAGAGGCATCCTTTAAGAAAAAAAAAAGAGTGTTAAATTAGAAAAATCTGAATGCAATGCTCTAAATGAAACTTTCTTGCCATGGCCACTACTTTCTTATCAAGAGCTCGGGATCTTAAGGAAGTGCTTATTTTGTCCAAACTGTGATACTAAGACTTCTCAACTCTACAGGAAAAGTCCAGTTCTGGAAGCCAGTGGTGCAATTCTGCAAAGATGAAAAGAAGCGAGAGTGATCATGGAAAGGCTTGGGGCTGGGGTTTGCAAGTGGTGGACGTGGACCTCCTAGCCCAGGCCAGCTGCAGCTTGCAGGGGGCCCGCGAGCCTCAGGTCAGCAGCGCGGGCTTCTCCTGCCTCCCGGTACCGCCATCCCCAAGCACCTTCCACTGCTGGCCGGTGATGTTCTTTGTGAACATTGGACTCCGGGCCGCCCGAGGCCTTCACGGATCTCTGACATTCGCTTTAGGAACAGAGCCTCCGGGTCTGTGCGGGGACCTGTTCCCTCCCGCAGGCTCGTGGGGTCCCCGGGAGGCGGTGTGGGAGCCCAGGGAGGGGAGCCCGGACGTCCGAGGAAGGCGGCTCCCGGGTGCCAGGCCTCGCTTTCGTGGCTTTGAAAACTTTCCAGCGCGCGTGCCATGGCGACGCGCAGCGGCCGAGCCGGACCCACGCGGCCGCGCCTCCCGCGGGGAACTTTCTGCCTCTCGCCGCCGTGTCACTCTCGCTTTCCCGACGCGCCTCCCCCTGGGCCGCTCTCCGCCCGCCCGCGCCCTCCCTCTTGGCGAGGACTGTCCCCCGCGCCGCCGCTCTGGGCGCGCTCAGCCCGGCCCGGCCGATGGCGGAGGCGCCCCTCTCCGCCGCCACCTCCCGGCTCCCCCGCGCGTCGCTCTTCCCGATGGCCCAGCCCCGTCCCGCGCGCTGACGGCCGGCGGGCGAGCGAGCGCGGCGCCAGCCCCGGGCGGCGGGGAGGGAGGAGGGGACCCGCCGCGAGCGGCCGGAGGAGGCTGCCGGAGCCGACTTTTCGCCAATGGTCCAGCGCGACATGTCCAAGTCGCCTCCCTCGGCGGCGGCGGCGGTGGCGCAGGAGCTGCGGATGGACGTGCTGGAGAGCGCGGCGCCCGCGGGGGCGCTCGGAGCGGCGGCGGCACAGGTAGCGACAGCGCCGCGCCTTCGCCTTCGCCTTCCTTTGTGAGCCGCCGGGCGCGGAGCTCCGACCGTCCGCGCCTCCTCCCCCGGGAGCCCTCGCCGCGCCGCTCCCTCCTGCCTGGGTCCCCGCCGCCCCCTCCTCCTTCCTCCCTCGCCCTGTGCCACCCGCTCTCCTCTCCTGGCGCCGGTGACCCTACCCCCTGTTCGCCTGGCCCCGGCTCTTCCCCGGCTTCCATTTTTTTCTTGGCTGACGAAAAACCAGTGGGAAGGGGCGGGGGGGACCTCCCGGTCTCCCCAGGCCGCCCCCGGGCCGCTCAGGTCTGCCCTCCTCGCCCCTTCCCGGGAGAGGCACATGGGGGAGACATGAACCAGGCGAGCGGACTGGACCTGCTCAAGATCGTGAGTCCGGGTGGGCGGGAGGGGCCCCGCTTCCCGAGGCTCCGGCTCCCACGCCGGCCCTTCGGGGCGAGCTCTGCGCTGGGAGGGAGCGGGGCGGGTGGCGCGGTGGGAGCGGGCCCCGGACTCCCGGGCGCAGCCCCGCCGCCCTCCTCACCTGGGGCGCTGTGCTGCCTGACAGCTCGGCTCCCCTCTCCGCCTGTGCCCGGGTTTGCCCAGACCCCTCGTTCCTTTCCTTTAAGAAGAGAGCGAGCTGGGGGCCGTGAAAGTTTTTATGTTTCCATCCCCCACCCCCCCCACCCCCGAAATGTTAGCTATGTTAGAGAGTTTCAGGACCACCTTTTCCTCCGATGAGCATTCGTGGTTTCTGGGAAAATTCCGGTGTGCTGCTGCTGTTGTGAAATAGGAGATGTCAGTTGTAGGCGTTGGGTACCGAGAAGGTGGCTTTTACGTAAGGCTTGGCAGGTACGGTGTGGATTACAGACACCTCCAGATCTCAGCGGTGAGGAGTCTCTCAACTTCTATCCCAGCAGGGACATGACCTAAGACTCCTAGCTGCGGGCCACTGGGCCAGTGATGCGAGGGCTGTTTGGCTGTCCAGAGTGGGCACGTGTAACTAACCACCTGCACGAACATCTAGCCTCAGCCAGAGGACCGGAGTCTTTGTTCCAGACTCCTGGTTTTATCCTGTCACTTACAGGTCAGATGAGAGTGAGAAATGTTCTCAGAGCCCTCCAGGACAGATTCCAGGAGGAAGGTCTTGAATATTGATAGAGAAAAGAACTGTCAGACCTTCTTTTCTCTTTGATCTCCCTTCAAGGATTTTTTTTAAGTTTTTATTCTCCTGATAAAAATAGAGTTCCTGAATTTCTGAAGATCAAAGTTAGGGCTGATAGAAATCGTGACTGCATTCAGATAAGAGATACTCATTTATGTAGAGATTTATCTAGCTAAACAGATAGTTTAAAAAGTAAGTCAACAAATATTTCTTGTGTAGCTGCAATGTGGAAATAATTCAGATGCAAATTTCTGCCTTCAAAATAAGTGACATCCTGGTAGCTGCAAGTATGACAGATGTGTGGTGAGTATGGCTTGGGACTATAAGAGAAGCCTGCATCTTCTGTGGTTGCCCAGCACTAAAGATCGCAAATACTCCACTTGGAGTAACCGATAAGGACGTCATAGAAGAGGTGGCCTTTGGGAAGAGACTTCTCGGGCGGGTTAGATTTCAACAGGAATTTTCAGAGAGAAGGTAGGGAACTAACTATATAGGAAGCAAAGTCGCAGAAGTTAGAAGCCTTAAAGCAGACATTTATAATCCCTAGTTTGAAAAGAGTGTGGAAAGTTACAGATAGGGCAGACTTAGGCATAAGACTGACAAGGCAATTGGAGCCCACATTTTAGAGGCTTTGAAACCTGCAGTGTATTAAATAATAAAGAGCCATGGCTGGGACTCAGGGACGGAGCCATGTAATAGCTCATTCCAAAGAGTCACCTGGGAAGGTTCTAGAAGATAATTTTGAGTCTGAGGAGTCCAGAGGTGGGGCTACCCGAAGGGAGATGGATAGAACAGTTTGGACAAGAAGTACTAGGCTAAACTAAAGAAAGGAAAGGATAATGGAAATGACAGATCCATGCACGAGACATTGCAAAGACTCATGCAATCAAGCAATTGCATAGATACGTGAGAGGGAGGAGAAAGAGAGGCATGGATATTAAATGCATGTAACAGGTATAAATATTCAGCTTCACCAGCATCCATCTCCTTGCTTTCTCTACCTTGCAAAAATGAAAGCAGTTTTCCTGGAATTGTGTCCATAGCACATCCATTATCTGAGGGAAACACTGCCTTTGTTTATTTTCTATCTAATAAATCATGGCATCATAGGGCTGTGAGGAGTTGGCAAAGGCATCTCTTCCATCTCTCTGGACAGGCCAGCAGTAAGGGAGGGAGGAAAAGAGCTGTCTCAGGAGCACCCCCCTTTTCGTGACACCAAGTAATTGTCATTCTACTCAGAAAGGGAATTTTCTTTACCAATGGCACCTCGAAGCCATCGTTGTTTTTAAGAATCCTTTCTATTTCACCTCTAGGTTATATTGCAAGTTCTATATGAGCAAAGCAAGATATGTAGAGCCACACACTCTGCTCTTATTCTGTTTTTATGGAATCCTCCTTGGGGAGTGGGCAGCTCCATACATTCCAACCCCCCTCCCTCCAGCACAAACAAAACGGATAGATGGAGTGGCAGTCTAACTGCAAGTCCTTGAAGGTTCTGATGTAAGCAAATGGCATCGCTTTTTAGGTAACTTGTTGCCGTTTCACTGCACACTTGGCTGCAGTTGACCTTCAAAGTCAAGGTGCTAATTTAGGACTCCCCCTCCCACGCCCCAAATCTGTGCTGTCCACTACAGTAGCCCCTGGCCACATGTGATTTCCTAGCACTGGAACTGTGGCTCCTCAGAACTGAGAAGTGCCATACATGGAAAATACACACCGGACTTTAGAGATTTAATATAAAATAAGGACCATTCAACATCTTGTTAATGATTTTTATATTGGTTACACGTTGCAATGATAATATTTTGTATATGTTGAATGAAATAAAATACATTATTACAACTAATTTCACCTGTTGCCATTTACCTTTTTAATGTGGCTGCTAGAACATTGCAAGTACCCATGTGGCATGTATTATAGTTCTGTTGGACGGCTTGTGTTATATTTCTATTGGACAGCATTATTCTAAAGAATGATAATTCTCCGGGGAGTTGAATAAATCATGTAAGCAGGCTGGGTGGACGGACAGTACCTGAAAGGGATTGAGAATTGAATGGCTATGGAGGAGGAAGTAGATGAGAAACCAGAGTAGTAGCTCAGCACGTTAGGCCTCAAAGAGATTGTAGCTGGCACCTCCAGTCACACCTGAAAATGAACAGACAGTAACCAGAGGGCCTGTTTGTTTTGCTCCTAGCAACAGAACCCAGCTGGGTCCACCCCAGCGGAGTTGGCCAGATGCTTTTCAAGCATGTTGTAGTAATGCAGGCCGGTAATGGCAACATCCTGATTCAAGGAGCTGGAGCAGCCGCCATTCTCCTGGGGCTCTTGAACCAGGTCAATACCGTTTTCCAGAAACATTCTGAGGTCTAACAGTCTTTTGCAGTCTCCAAATATAATGGTCATGGGTCCTGTGTTTTATGTTTTGCTAAAGCCTTCCCTCCTAAGCCCAGCCAGTTTTCTCTTGAATGGCATTTTTGTTCTGCTGTTGCAAGGGCGAGATTTAGAAGCATGCCGATCAGACTTTCTGAGTGTGTTTTAAAATGTGAAATATAATATCTGACTATTTGGGTGATTGGAGGTTTAGTTGATTTTGTAGTTTCATGTTTTTCTTTTTATGTAAAGACTTAGTTTACCTGTTGCTGCATTTAATTCTTTTGAATTATACAGAATGTAGCCTTGGTCTTTTCAAAAAGACTGAGCAAAATATGTTAACCCTGTAGGGCGTGGTGGCACTCTTTAATTTTGTAACTGTGAGACATATCTATATCCTGCAAATAGTATACTTACTTTCACAATTACAGGGAGTTAAGATGAATTGTGATACCACTTCAGTCACTGAGTCTGCCTTAGAGTTCTTTCCAAGCTTGGCTGGAGGTAGATTGTGACGAGGGCAAGATTGGGCCCTGGCCTGCTCCCACCCTCCCTGCCCCTGCACCTCTCCACTGGGCATTTCTCTGTTTCCTGACCTGGCCCCTCTTCCCTTTTCTACCTGCCAGGCCCTAAAAAGAGCTCTACCTACGCTGCCTCCTGATTCCTTTATGCTTTTGTGTAAACTGATCCATATAGAAAACAACTTGTGTTTCCCTCGTTCTAGGGAGTTAAACTTCTCTCCTAGTAAAGGATCTAACAACGTCATTGATACTAAGCTATTGGTAAATGAGATTTCATGTCTGATTCCTCTATGGATAGTTTTGGTTTGTTTGCTATGGACCGTAAGATGAGGAAAGTCATCAGTTCAAAGGGATAACTATCAAAGAATGCTAACCAAGAGGGATAAAACCAATTTTGGGCCTCAGCATTATGCTCAGGTAGGAGAATTGTTACCATATCCATCAAGCACAGAAGCGACATCCTTCTCAAAGCCGCCCCCAGGCGCTGCCAGGCCAACTTTTTGTGTACAGCTGTGCTGAAATCTCCACTTAATAGGCAACTTGTACCATTAACTACTGCTGTCTACGTTGGTCATACAGAAATTTGATTTCAATTGCTTGTAGAAATGTGAGCATTTAATTGCTGATTTTGAGACTCCAGTTTAGTTTTAAAAGTATTTAGTATCAACAAAGACATTCATTTACATGATGAATGTTGGATATCTTTTAATACATCATTTATGTACTGGTGAAATTTTATTTTTATTTTTTTTAGTTTCTGAAATCTTAGCTTAGTTCAGTGGTTCTCAACCTTCCTAATGCCGAGACCCTTTAATACAGTTCCTCATGTTGTGGTGACCCCCAACCATAAAATTATTTTGTTGCTACTTCATAACTGTAATTTTGCTACTGTTATGAATCGTAATGTAAATATCTGATATGCAGGATGTATTTAGGCGACCCCTGTGAAAGGGTCGTTCGACCCCCCAAAGGCGTCGCAACCCACAGGTTGAGAACTGCTGGCTTAGTTGATATTTTAGGAGAAGTAAAGAAATTTAAAGATACGGTTTTCTTTTTTGCTTTTTGCTATGGTGACAATTTATTTTTATTGAGCTGCATATAACTAATAAGCAATGAATGAAAATTACTGACTTTTTAGACTGTGTTCCAAGAAAGCCATAGGGGTCTGCATGTGTCGGGGACAGAGAGTATTATGGGTTACACTCTGCACTCTGGCCAAACCCCTTTCTCTTTCCCGTTTACTTCTTGAAACCTGGGTGATCTGATTGTTACCTGTATATCAGGTGTTCATATATTGGTATTGCTAAAAACTACTAAAAAAAAACCACCAAAAAACATTGGTCATAAAAGTAGCTGCACTTGAAATAGCCCCTTAACTAGGAAAACTATACTTCTTTCCTGTCTTTTTCCATTTAGGGGAGATTTGGCCTTTACTTTAAAAAGGTTTTCTTCAGATGTTCCATTCTAATCCTTATTTTCAAAGATTTAGAGCAACTAAAAACACAAATCATTTCAGTAAGATGGACCTAACTTTAAATATGCTTTGGATTAAAGAAAACTTCATTTTTAATGGCAGTATAAATTTTCACTAACATTTTTACAGCACATAAACATGGACCATCAAACCATGTCAATACCAGAAACATTCACTTGTATTCCAGATGATGCTTCAATTCTTTTTTCCAAATCCTGATATTATCATAAAAAATAACCAGTCACTGAATAGTCACTCTACAGTTAAAAATAAAAGAGGAGGTATAGATCAGAAATTACTACTGAAATTAGTAAAAGAGCAAAATAGAGGTATAATTAAGCATTTCTATTTATTTGGGCTTTTGATAAATGTGATCTATAATGAATAGGAATTTGCTGTAACACTGTTAGGGCATGAACAAGTTAATAATTTGAATAAATCATCTTTCATAAATGTAATTGAAGGATGCTATCTTTCTAAAAACTATCACTAGTTTGCAAACGATTCAATATACTATGGCCTTTTTCTTTTAGTGTGCAAACTGTATATTCGTACCATTGAAATTTGTGATAATCCAATGTAAATACATTACATGGGTAGCTAAATACACCTGAAATAATGTTTATGAACAGTATCCCCAGGGGCCTAGAAAAATTAATGTGGTTTTTAAAAATGCACTTGATTTCTTGCAGAGAACTGCAGCCTCCCCTGTGACTGAATGTCTTAAATACGCTGTGGTCTCACAGTGCCTGTTGTGCAATTGTGAACAGCCACGAAAAGGCTTACACACCGAAGCAGCTGACTAGTAAAGTGTATTTATCATGAAAAGTCTGAAACATATGACCATAGAATCTCAAAGACGCTCTTTTCACCCAATTCAACATGGTACTGGAAGGCCACATGATAATGGGATGGGATTATATTTGATCTTAGCTCTCAAAGATGATTTATGCTCCTCGGGGAAAAAATAGTATATTTAACATATATTCATCCCCCCCACCCCCAAAGACATATGTTAGGTTCAAAAATGCTTGCTAGGTCATATGTATTTTTTCAAAGGAATAATGTACATTTTTTAATTTTAAGGAAATTTTCATACTTTATTTTAACATTCTTAGGCCTTGGAAGACACTTCTGTCCAAACCTTTACATAATAATTGGAAAAGGAAGAACATTGTTGAAAGAATGTTATTTTTCAACAGTTTACGGAATAATGTTTACACAAGTAAGAAGAATAAGCTGCGAAGTGAGGAGAACCTTGTATAATACATTATGAAAGCCCAGCCTAGATGATCTTTCCTTTTATGAAGTTGAGAGTTAATTAAATGCCATGGAAACACATTTGTATTATATAAATCCCTTAGATACTTGGAAGAGAACAAATATATTTAAGAAAGATTTTTGCTTTAAGATTATACCACCCTCTCTCTGATTGCAAATGCATCTAAATTACTCATAACACAAATGTTTGTACTGTAATGGATTTCAGCTTGCCTAAGTGCTACGTATATTATGGTTCATATTTCCATTTTAATGAAAACCATATGAATATGTAAAATATAACAAAGCAGGATTTTCAAAACCAGAACATGGTCATTTTGAAAAAGTAAATTTTGTAAATTCTGATAATCTAATGAGGTCTCTGTGAGCCTAATCATTTGAACCATATTATATATTTTAGCCCAATTTCCCCCCATCCTTCCAGCCCTAATGTGGGTATTGGGTTTTTTAAAAATATATTATATGTTCCAGTATTATACTAAATGCTATAAAATATGTTATTTCATTTAATATTTAAAATAACTGTCAGGTGAGTAATACTGTCCCCATTTTAAGGCAGAGAAGACTAATGCTTGGACAGGTTAGGAAATATATTCAAGGATCCCAACCTATGTGCATGTGACTGTAAATCTCAGTGGTGAGCTATTTTTCACTTATATCTTAATGTTCAGTATTCAACGTAACTTGATCTGTGATGAGCTATTTTTCACTTATATTTTAATGTTCAGTATTCACAATAACTATCTGTGCCTAGAATTAAACATAGATTGATGCATAGTTTATTCTTAGTGCTCTCAGTGTAAACTGTAGATAGAGTAGTAAAAGCAAGTTCATTTGTATATGTCTGTGTTTGGCCCAATCTTGTTATTGAAACAAATTGTCCTACCTTTAATGTCCTGTTCTTATATACTTAATTTTTCATTACTATGATTTCATAAAATTTATTTTTCTTGCCTTTTCCAGAAAATCACTAAGTAATTAAAAAGCAAAACTTTCACATAGCATTCAAACACTACAACCATGGGCCAGAACATTTTATAAAGTATTTTAATTTCATGTGCTTCACTAGCACATATATAGCTATTTCAACATCTCTACAACCATAGAAGAGTATTAGGAACAACACCATGCTTCATTCATGCTTCATGTAGACCTACATATATAAATTTAAAGGCAATCAGAATTCATATTGCAGAATGTTCTCCAGCCACCATATGCATTTCTTGCAAGTACCACTCCAATAAAAGAGTCCCTATGGAATTATCAATTAAAGCATGAAAAGAAGCAGAAAAATGGATGCTGGGCACTGCTCGCAGCAACATTGCATTATGCATGAATCTATTGCTTTCTTGCTCTCTGAGAGTTTTGACAAGTTGCCTTTCCTCTCCCAGTTACTTCTGCTGCCCCAGGCCTTCCTGCACTTAATTACTTATTTTTAAAGGCTTCATCTTTAGTGGCTTTTGCCTCTTGACAGCCGATATGCTAACAGCATAAATTGTTTAATTCACCAGTTATTGTCCTTGTCTAAACAATTTTCTTCCCTATATATTCAGTGATTTGTGATTCCTCCAATAATAACTTTTCAATAATGTTCACATGATGGCAAGTCATTATGTGTTTTGGTCTTTGACATTTTCTAGACCTAGGCCTAGGTTCCTGTGAGAGGGTCTAATGGTAATCTCATTTTTCTCTTTTTTTTAGTCATATGGAAAAGGAGCTAGAAGGAAAAACAGATTTAAAGGATCCGATGGGAGCACGTCATCTGACACTACCTCAAATAGTTTTGTTCGTCAGGTAAGGAGCTCTTAAATTTATGGTTTGGAGAAGTATATTTAAATGAATTTTGTTTTCTTTAAGGCTGGCTTTATACTATTGTCAGAGCAGCAAGAACACAGCTGTTCTGAGTTCTAAATATTCTTCTGAATCCTACTAACAACTATGCCAATTGTCAGGGCAGGTTCCTTCTCAAACCCTGCCCATTGCACTAACTGTCAGGGCTGAGCCCCTCTGCCAGGGGCTGGAACTTCGTGGATGCCGGATGGTAGACAGAGAGGCCATGAGAAGTTGTGGGTGTATAAGAATGCGTCTTTATTGTGGAAGCCAGCGGCCATTGCCATTAGACAAAACAGTTCCTTAAGCAGCCTATAAAACAGGCACCTGCACACCAGCTGATAACAAGTACATCTTTCCCATAAAAGCAGCAATATCTTCTGTACCCACAGTTATTATTTGAGCAGCCACACACTGCCCCTAGACTCACTGCCTCACATCATAGCGGCACCTGAGCTCTCCATTCTTGCCTCTCTGGCCTCTCCCCTCTCTCCAGCCTTTCCTCCTTCCCATCGCAGCAGCATTCTACACTGGCTGGTCAGTGACGTATTATACTACTTAGACGAAAGGGGCTTCGTGCCAATAGTTATATCAATCATTTTGGCTACAGCAAGGCACGCATGCGCAGTATACTGTGAGATCGCTGTGACCTTGCACCTGCTTATGGTATCTTAGCTTTGAACATTCTGATTAAGATTCCCATGTTCAGAGTGGCCTTGGCCACTCCAGCGTAGTAGCAACAAGGCCTTGGCTTTCGGCGTCTGGCATGGTTCCTGCAACTAGAATCCTTAAGATTTGTATGGTATTATTGTATTTACTTTTAGTTGAAGTGAAAAGTGTGCTGTTTTTGTCATAATTAAAATACTTAAATTTTAAGTGAGACTGTAATAATTACACTCTTTCCTGCAAGTTGGCAAAAGACAAATGTAAAATTCCTTACAAAGGATTTCTTCCTAACAGGAGGAGTGAACTCAAGCAGAAAGGATTGCAGGTTTTGGAGGTGGTTTTTTTTTTTCAGGGATGGGGCAGGCAGTGAGCATCCATGATACCACCTATGAAGTTGGGATACTGGTGTTTCTTTAGCTTGAGTTGTCTTCTGCTTCCCACTTGGCATTTGGATTATAAAAGAGAAACTTGTTCTTGGTCTTGATATGGTTGAGGCTACTGAGGTTAAATAGAACATGAGATATTGTTGTGACATGATTTAAACTGCCCTTGGAGATGTAGCCTTTATTTCAGATAAACATGTGGTGTATTCCTGCTAAGCACTTTGGAATTGTCCCCTGAAATTTATATCTATGGTAACAGGACTTTAATTACTAGAGGAAGAACGCCAGTTCTGGTTGGTGTGCTCATCAATAATCTCTTGTCAGTGACAGCTCGCTCCCCAAATAGTGGTCGTCACCTGGAAAAGCTGCTCCATTTCTTTTGGAAGGAAAGCCGCTTTCCCCTTGTGCTTCCTGTGTCCCTTCCCCACGGTTCTCCCCCGGTTGGTTATCAGCCATTAGGCTTAAACTTGCTCACCTGCTGTTTCCGTGGGGCTTCTGTCCTTGGCTGGTTGCTGCCTCCTTACGCAGTCGGGGATGATCCCTCTTCGGCCACCAGTTCCTGCTTGCAACATCAGGGTCACCAAAGGTATGTCTGAATGATTTACAGGCAACTGGCAACGTTTTGGTTCCGGTCTGTGCCAACGGGGAATTGTTTCAGTTTTTAGAAAAGGAGTTAGTTAAGAAGGAGCAGAGCTTGTTTTTGCTAAGAAACATTTAGAAAGAAAGAGGAAGTTGAAGCCAAGCGAGGCCCAGCCTGGAGCCAAGTTCCAGTGGCGCTGAGAAGGACGTGAGATGAGCTGAAGGTGTGTGCATCGGCCTGATGCCATCGTGGGCAGAATTCTGCATTTGGTCCTGAGCACAAGAGAAGGGCCAGGGGAGGTGGTGACTTAGCTTAGGTGAGTCTGTTAAAGGAAAGTTACCTAAGTCCTTTTCCATATTTATTCTGCCCCTGGGGCAAAGAGATTGAACCTGGAGAGCTAGAATACACAACTCTGAGTCATCCTCTCAGGGCTGAACATCAGAGGACCTGAAGCAGAAACAAGTAAGCTGCTTGTCGTTTTGTGTGGCGTTGCTGTAGCTAAGCCACGCAAAACGACAGCAGCTTGTTGAAACTGCATGGAAAGCAAAACTGCTGTGTTTCAAGCGAGCAAGATATTGAAAATAGGAATAAAGAGTATAGAGCTCATTATTGCTCATTTTAGCTCTGTAAAAAATGTCATTTAAAATCAGTCTCCATACCCCTTTTTCCAGTTGACTCAATGTGAATTCTCCTTTCATGGAGTTTTGAGAACTTAATTCAAAAGGCTGGAAGGGTCTGCCACATTGCATTTAAATGAACTGGAATGTATTTTCCCTCATAATAACTTTCTTTTGATATGCATTCTTGGTGATGTATGTGAGACACTGTGCTTGAAATAATTATAATTAACAAAGAGAGCTGTTAAATTACTTAATGTAAATTTAGGTGTATATTGCCAAAACATATGTGAGCATGTAGGAAGACAAAAGCACACACACCGTTATCCTAAAGGCCCATCTCTTTGACTCTCAGTAGAATGAGGTGTTTGCCATGGCATGAATGTTGGGTAATGGGGACACAGGCATCAAGAACCCTGAAGTGCCTTCTTGCTTCTATCACAGAAGGAAAACCAGTGTCTTTGGCTGAGTTCAATACTGGATTTTACTTTGGTAATTGAATATCAGTTCTGTTAAAATGGCATTCATGCCCTAACCAGTTTTGCTCAGTGGATAGAGTGTCAGCCTGCAGACTGAAAGGTCCCAGGTTCGATTCCGGTCAAGGGCATGTACCTTGGTTGTGGGCACATCCCCAGTAGGGAGTGTGCAGGAGGCAGCTGATCGATGTTTCTCTCTCATCATTGTTTCTAACTCTCTAGCCCTCTTCCTTCCTCTCTGTAAAAAATCAATAAAATATATTTTTTAAAATGGCATTCATATTTTGCTACTGTTTAAAAATAGGCAACAACTACCATTGGCACAGTTAAATATTTAATAGATTATAGTTTAATCAGAGTTATTTGCAGAAATGCACAGTAGATAATAACAAGAAGCATATGTTATATGAAGGAATTTGAAAGAACCCCTTTTAAGTATTTTCTTTTTATCATAAGCAGATGTTTTGTTAAACAAGTAATTTGTGTCAGTATGCAGGTACATCCTGGAGATACTTCGAGTTCAGGCCCAGACCACTGCACCACCGCAGTAAAGCAAATTGTAATGTTTTTTTCTGGTGGAGGGTCTTGCCTTCAATATGTAAGAAACACAACATCTGTGAGGCACAGCAGAGCAAAGCACAATAAGACAAGGTGTGCCTGCACTGCTCTGCATTCGTGTTCAAACCAGCGAGCTAAGGAAGACTCGGAGGAAGATTCCTACCAGTGTTTTTAGGATGCATGCATACAAAGTTAGTCTTCCTTTGACTTTCTTCTTTAGAGAAAGGTGAGGATGTTTTTAGCACTGTAAATGTTCCCTTGGCCTCATGATTTAAAAACAAACCAAGAGAAAAATCACACACACACACACATACACACACACACACACACACACACACACCGGCATCAAACATTCCTTTACTGCTTTCATCAGAAGTTGCGTCACCATCCCAGCATACTGTGCCACTCTTATTGGCAATCAGAAGAATTGAAAGAGTCTTTATTTTTTTTTCCTTTCTCCCACAAAAGTCAGAGAAACACACTCTTTTTTTTTAATCCTGAAAGTCTTTTTTTTTCTTCCCCACTTGGATGTGAACTCAAGTCTGAATCACCTGCAACATCACACTGGTTGGTTTTGAAATGCAACAGAGGCCGATGGGCTGTGAACCATCCTCTGTGAATCTGGGTAAAGTCAGGCGCACATTCAGCATCCAACTTCAGCATATTAAGTTATTAAGGGGCAGAAAGTGTTAAACATGACTTCTAGGCACCCTAGGTAGAATTAATGAAGATTATTGTTCAAATAAGTTATGTACTAAAAGGTGACCATGGAATTATCATTGAGATAATTAAGATATTGAGGTTGTCTTAGATCCTTATATATGAACTCTGTACTCTGGCTCTGTGTTATGAACAGATATATCAATAAGAGACCTTCATTTATCATAATAATAAACGTGGAAAAGCAACCACTCTCTTTTAAAAATATATTTTTATTGATTTCAGAGAGGAAGGGAGAGGGAGAGAGATAAAATAACCATCAATGATGAGAATTATTAATTGGCTGCCTCCTGCACGCCCCCTACTGGGGATGGAGACTGCAACCTGGGCATGTGCCCTGACCTAATCGAACAGTGATCTGGTTCATAGGTCAACACTCAACCACTGAGACACACTTGCCAGACAAAAGCAACCATTCTTAAAATCCTTTGCATTTAATTCCATGCATAAGTTTATAATCTATTAAGATAACTAAGTTTTCATATAAGTTAGCTCTTTCCTCCCACTTCATTAAAAATAAATTTTTAAAAAGAGAAAAGAATTCCTGACATCTGTTGTCTGAAAAGTAGGTAAGGAGAGAAGGAGGGGAACCAGTTTATTTTAGCACCAGAACCTAATCAAGTAAATTGATTTACTGGACAAAAAATTGGTGGTCAGGAGTAATAAGGCCTGCCTAGCACCGAAGGATAGAACATGCGTGCTGTTCTTTTCTAGAGGTTGTGCAAGAACCGCTAACTGTATAAATTCTTTGATACTGCCAAGGTCAGGGAAAGCTATGTACATCTGTAAATAAGTACTAGTCATCAAAGTTAAAGCAGCTTGTGGAGGGTGGAAAGGGGGTGTTTGTAACTGTTTAATCAGCCTGCTTACTCCTCTCCTCTCCTCTCCTCTCCTCTCCTCTCCTCTCCTCTCCTCTCCTCTCCTCTCCTCTCCTCTCCTCTCCTCTCCCCTCCCCTCCCCTCCC